AAACCCACCAGAACCAGCCCCAATTAGGGCCTTGGGCCAAGGTTGTCCTTCGCGAACTTCTGCAACTCCGAGAGCTCGCGGCCACCTTCGTAGTCCTCGTTTTGGGCTCAGGGCCGAGCCGGACTTGTAGTATATCACTGAGATCGACAAGCTCCACGGCAGTCTCACACCCCTCGAAACCCGCACAGAGCAAAACCAGCCTCCAGGTTGGCGGGGTCACCGTACTTGATGGTTGGGAAGCCCTCCACGCCCACTTCGTCGCCTCGCGAGCGGCTTGAACTTTCGGGCTCAGGGCTCGGGGAAGGTCAGATTTTGGAGTTGTGCGTTTGATATTGATGGTCCCAGGTGAGGGGATTCGAGTGCGTGCGGCATCTCGACCGTTTCTGGAAGGCTCAGGGGCTGCAGAAATCCTAATGCAGCTGCTGCCGCCGGAGCAGAAGCTGAGGCCAGTGCACATGGCCTTGCCCTCACCGATGCAATCCTTGGCAAGCACTTATCGGTCAGCAAGACAGCGGTACTAGCAGGCTCCCGCCAAGTTTGGGTCACAGAAACACCGTGCCAGGACTTCTGCAGTCTTGCCGCAAGGTTCATGAGGAAGGCTGTGTCCAGGCAATGTGCGATCGGCTTCTGAAAGGAGAAATTCAATTCTTGCCGCTGCTGCTCCCACGATTGCTCCGATTGCCACGATTCTACCTCGTCCTATCACCGTTATACGATTACTCCAGTGACTTTAGTGGCTCGGCTTGATGGCCTAAACTAGAGCTAGTACAGCTGCTCTTTGGGTGCGGCTGGGAGGCCACGTCTGCGACCAAGATCGACTCATGGCTGGCATACTCCTTCATGAGCTTGTCCCAGTCCTTCTTCATGGCCTGCAAGATCGCTTGTAAGGATTGTAAGGGTTCTGAAGCCTTGCATTATTCTGGGAGCAGAACCCGGAATCATCCATAACGACAACCCAGACCCGGCTAAACCGTGACCCACCAATTCAAGCTCCACAGCTCCTGCGAGTAATCGCCAAAAAAAAAAAACATCACGCGACGTCCCATGAGTAGATATCAAAACAAACCACACTTATTACAGGGCCTTGAACCTTTGCCTGATTTCTGCTGCCATGCAAATCACACCACCAGACGGGGACTAGCATCCTCGCCTCTGATAGTCTCGGCATCATAACCCATGCATAGCCGAGACGTGGACACGGAGGTTTGGCATGCTATGATAGTCGTCATCAGAATGAGACAAGCCCTTGAAAGGAAGGCCGGGCTTTCACGGATTGCTCCCAAACCTGATCGGCATACATATCCGTGTAGGTGCAGGTACTTGTTGGAGATAGTTGTACATGTTTTCTCAAGGTTGGCCAACCGCTCCCGTATCTCATAAAATTTGGAGAATAACCAAGGACTCAGACACAGAATGCCTTGCAGTGACCACACCAGGGCGCGAAGAATTTCACGAAGACCTCAGCCAAAGCTGGAACAGGGACCACCGACACATCAAACTTCCAGAAGTTAGGTTGGGACCAAGCCTTGAAGGTTTCGAAGCGCACGACGTCACATGTTAGACTCTTAGACCACAGGGCTTCCTACAGTATGCTGTCAGACAAGATGCACTCTTGCCGGCAGTCTTCTCATCCCAGGACTCCTGGAAGAGATGGCTCACGAGAGGTACCTAAAATTTCCAAAAATACTCGTGTGGATTGGTGTATCTGTGTGTGTGTGTGTGCGTATGTATGTATGCATGGAGGCATGTGCGTATATATCTGTATACATACACATGTGCGTGAAAAGTCATAGACATATATATATATATATATACATATACATATATTCATATGTATATATATATATATGCGTGTGTGTATGCATGCATGCAGCTATCTATGTATATATGTATGTATGCATACATATACACACACACACATATATATATATATATGTACATACCCACACACATATATATATATATATATATGCATGTGTATATGTATATCAGGTATTTTTGGCTCCCACTTGGCACCGTCAGCGAGCTGACACTGCATGGCAGGTCACAAGTCACACACATACTCCACTGCCAAAAGGCATGGCCGAGGAGATGAAACTGAAGGCAGTTCGCAAGAAAGGCACAGCGCGGCATGCCACAGTCTCCAAACTGACAATGCCACTCGTAAAGCTGTTAGCTCAGTAGCTACGAAGCAAGGAAGCACCAACGCGTACACACTCTACTATGTCACAGCGTGACCTATCCCAGAAAAGCTCTTTCTCAAAAGAGCGCGTCCACTGCACTGCACGAGAAACATCCAAGACACTGTGGACTGCAATCACTGCCAGGACGATTCGTGTCTCCACTTCTGTATTCCCATGCCACTGCATCCAACAGACAATGTTGTGACTCGTCCACCAGATTTGCATGGCTACAGACGACATCCCCACCGTCACAGTCGGCGAGGCTCTCCCTGACTCATGATGGTGATACACCAATAGCACTCAATGTGCCAGCAGTGTCATCCTTTCATCGACCATCCCAGTTGCTGAAGAAGGCTGTGACCAAAACCGCTTCTGGAAAGCTGCCCATAGCCGTGAATACGCACAAGGCACAGCACACCAACAGCACTCGAGGTGCCAGCAGTGTTCTCCTTTCAGTCAGATCAAATGGGGCTAGGAAGCTGTCCAGCCAGTGATGCACACAAGTCGCAGGATGCCAGAAGCGGCCAGAAGCGTCCACTCGTCGCGCACAAGTCGCAGGATGCCAGAAGTGGCCAGAAGCGTTTACTCGCCAGCCCACAAGCTGTCCAGCCACTGATGCACACAACTCCCAGGATGCTAGAAACGGCCACTCTCCATCCATTGCGGTTGTCAGCTGTCGTGAGTATGCCTTTCCCACCAGTCCAGAAACTCCAATGATTAACATCCCCACTAAGGCATGCGGGAAAGTTCCAGGTCCATCAGTGGCGGGGAGTATGCGGAAATCGTCGATCCCAGCATACTCCCCGCCGCTAGGGTCCGATGAGTGCGAGCCAGCATATGTGTCGCAGTCTCAGTAGCAGTGCTTGACGTTTTTCTCACTTTTCCAGCCGAAAGGTGCCTTCTCTGAGCGCAGGTCCATGGCATTGCAGGGGCGCAGGTTCGTGGTTTGGTTAGGGACACCCACAAGGCAATGGACCGACAAATACAATTACCTAACCCAAGTCCAGGCTCACAGGGATGGAGGGAGAACCACGCAGAGGTGTGAGCAGTACGGGCAGTGCGAGCAAGGGAAAAGGCAAGGACAGTGCAAGGCAGCAAGCAAGGACAGTGCAGGGCAAGGAAAACAGTGCAGACAAGAGGCAGTAGGCAAGTTTTTTTTTTTGGGTTATCAAGTACAGTGGAGACGTGTATTACACACATCTCATGTGCTGAGTGCCACCAGGCGGCCGAGAAAAATCTGTGCAGCCGAGTGGCATGAATGCAGCCAAAGGTCGAGGACAGTTCTGTGCATCCAAGCGGCACAACAATGCAGGCGAGTCACAGCCAAGGCACCGTTTACTCACTGGTTACATGTCTACCGTGGTAATCACGTCATGCCTGTCAGTGCGTTCTCCAGCAGTTTGGAAAAACGCATGTAGCGACATTTGTTGCATCCTGGGTACGTTTGGTTCCAAACCCCCATGCAATGCCACAAAACAATCGGCCTCACTAGGTACATTGAAACCCAAGGCAATCAGTCGACCCTTGATGGGGCTCGTCAAAGTGGAAGCATGTATGACCGTAAACGCAATTAGAATTAAACGCTCTGACGACCTTTGTGGGTCCTCCACGTGACCTGCGTGCAAAAGGCGCCTGGCATCAAAGACGTATGGCCGACGTAATGGAACGACTCTGCCCCACAAAGTCTCCCCTGGTGAATTTTCGGTGTATCCCCCAGGGTATCCTGCAGCCACAAGCCATCCTTAGTCCAATTGGGTGTGTCAAGGGCCTGTATCAGTGAGTGGATTGGGCCATTACGTGTATCCCTGTGCGGTGTACCCACCATCCCATACCGCAGAACATAAGTAGTGTACTTGTGTTGGGGCGCAACCCACTGAATGTACCGATTAACAAGCAGATTGAAAAAGGGTAAGTTGAGGGAGTGGGTGAGGGTAGAGTCGCGACACCTTGGACTAGCCCCTCCTACAATATACCGACATCCATTGGGACCTCTCTTAAACTCGGAACCTGGCAGCATCCGAAGAAGTTTAATAATGTCAAGTTGGCAAGTTGGTCGATTACATGCATGTAGTAGGTGCAGGGCAGCGTGTTCGACGGGCTGAAGTCGGAGGTCCGTAGTTAAGCCTAGCGATCTGTCCTGAGGCCTCAAAATCGGCGTGCTGGTATCAATGTCCGTGTCATCGTCGGAATCTACGACAATCGGGGAGTGATTGGACATAGCACAGGCAAAAAGAGGGGCAGTAGTAGGCTGTAGCTTGGGTCCACCTGGAGAGCAAAGATCCAGGGCCTCACTGGGGCTGCTTTTGAGAGGAGAGGCAAAGGACATGACCTGGGCAGTGAGGGCCTAACGACCTATCACATGTAGGGGGGCTTCGAGCCTTCAAACTTGCGGTAAGTTTTTCCACATTCCACTGGAGGCTCGGTCGGGGTGGTGGTGGCTCAAGGACATGCGCTATGACTGCAGAACACATCCTCACGCCGATCCTTTTTTGCAGGTGCGGAGCATCAGTGACGGCTCTGGCTGAGAGCAACCCTCGATTCACATGTACAAGAGGGACAATGCAAAGCAAGGAAACAGTGCGGCAAGGAAAGGCAGTGCAAGGAAGGCAGTCAGTACAGGGCAAGGACAGTGCAAGGACAGGCAGCTACACGGCAAGCAGCATCAGTGCAGAGCTGGGCAGAAAGGGTTAGTTAACACAAATCAAGTCAGAGACCTGCACTGTGCTACGAAGCGTGCGATGCTGCAAAACTGCACTTCACAAGCCAAGATCTACCAGGCTCCGTGGCCGCTGGACCCCTGGTTCAGGACACTGTGGCTCAGTACCCCCCTCCGCCTCCTCGTTGGTTGAGCGCCTGGGTGAGCGTGTCGAGGTTCGTGAGGAGCACAGGCGGGGAGTGCGGCGCCGAGCTTGCATGGATCTGTGACACATGTCCTCCCAAGCCAACTTCCTCGACCAGTGGTGTGTACGTCGGCGCCGGCGGGGGTCCGCGAGCTCTGCTGTGGCTGCTCTGCTGGAAGCTGGGCGGCTGCTGCGGCGCTGGCGTGGGCGAAGGCCTGGGCTGCGTCTGTGCCACCACTCTGTCCAGGCTGGTCTGTACTTCGCCGAGGGCACGCAATCTCATTCCCATGATTTCGCTGTGCTTGTCCAAGGCCACACCCACCTCATTGACGTTGTCCAAGAGGCCTGTGATCAAGGCCTCAATCTTTGTGACCTTACTCTGGAGCTCCTCCTCCTGCCCGGCGACCCAATGGAGCGTGTTGCTCGTGTCATCCGCCACCTTCTTGAGCTCCTGCTCCCACGGGCTGGGGTCGCCCTTGGCCAAGAGGTTCAGGGTCCTCTCGATCATGTCAGCTCCCCTTCTGATGACCGGGGTCACATTCTTGATCTCCGCCAAGATGGCCGACCTGTGCCCCAGCGCATCCTTACCGAGCTCCTCATTCTTGTCCTTGAGGCGCACGATGAGCGCATGGTCCTCCCTGAGGTAGCCGGTGACGTTGTCCACCTTGGTGGCGAGGGCGGCGTGCTTCTCGTTGGCAGTGGCCTGGGCTTCCGCGTGCTTGTCGTTGGCCAACTTTTGCACTTCTTGAAGCTGGTCGATCACGGCCGTATGCTTCTCCTCGCACAAGTGCTTCGTGAGCGTCTGGACCACTTTCATGGAGTCCTTGAGCTGCTTGATCTCTTGGCTGGCATCCGGACTGCCGTCCTTGCTCGAGGATGGGGCAGCGGCTTTGTCCTTGAGCCAGTCCTCCACTGACTTCTGCATCTTCGACGTTTGCCCTTGGCTCCACTGGGACAGGACGGGCCGAAGGCTGTCCCAAATGTCCGAACCCAATCCACTGATGTCAAGGGCAGCTGGGCCTGCGGCCAAGTCCTTCACCGCCTTCTCCAGTGCAGCGAGCTTGCTCTGGAGTACTTCGGTGTCGGCAGTGAGCTTGCTTTGGAGCGCTTCAGTGTCGGCAGCGAGTTTGCTTTGGAACGCTTCTGTTTCTGGTGGGGAAGCCCCCCTTTGCTCAAGCATCTCCACCTTAGTTGCAAGCTCTTCCAAGCGTGCTCCAAGGTGTTCCTTGACATAGTCCAGCAGGAGCTTCTGCGTGTCTTCCATGATGTTGGTAATGTGGAGTTTGACACTCCCCTGCAGACTCGTCATGAGGCTTCGGAGGAAGCTACTCTGAAAGCCCCAAAGGATGACCAGGCTGACCACCCCCATGATGGCGAACAACCCCAAAGTGGAGGTCTGGGGAAGCACGGCCACCGCGTGCGCTCTCTGCACGAAGTCTTGCATGTAGTCCACGGTGCTGCCAGCCTGGTTCATCCCTGCGAATTGAGTGCGCGCGGCCTGGTTGTCACCGTGATCCATGGCGATCTGGCGACAAGATGGAGAGGTCGGGGCGCGGAGAAAATGATTTGCTCGATGCGGCAAGTGCTGCATGACACAAAGGCGTGCACAGCGAAAATGGACTTACCACATTACTGGTCCGACCTGCCCCCCCCCCCCTAACCAAGCCATTGCACAAAATTGGGCATGTCAGAGTGACCTGTCACGAAAGCTTGGCTGTGATCCAAAGTGCAGAACACCTTACAATAATGCGACAGGGTGGCTCCAGCTTTGGCGAAACGATCGGCAACTTCGTTGAGTAGGACATTGCTATGGGCTTTGACATGTCGTGCTTCCACTGTAACACAAAGCTCGCTCCAAAGACAGATGATCTCATTGGTTACAGAGGCATAGAGGGTCCCCTGAAAAGCACCTTCCAAGATTTGCAGGACGTACTGGGAATCAGTGCAATAGCATACTGGGATGTAGGGATGCTTCAGGCGAAAGGTCCTGATCATGCGAAGTGCCTGAACTGCAGCTTGGAGCTCAGCTTGTATGTTGGTGCAGGGCTTGCGGATTTTGAAATGACAAACAGTCATCTTGCTGGTGTCCCCATAAGGGGGCAGAAGGACAACGGCCCCTCCACCATCGCCCGCCTGGCCCTTGCGGTTGTTGGAGGCACTCCCATCCGAGTACACCCGCAGTACATGTTCTTCGTCGTGCTCCTCAGGTCCTGAGTCAGGGGCCTCGGTCAGTCTCAGGAAAGAGACAGCAAAAGGTTCCTCAATTGGCGGGTGTCTCGTATGCAAGAGGCTGAACTTATCCCCGTGCTGGACCAGTTGACATCCACGCAGATCTATGTTTTCAGGCGGTTCAGAGTAAAACTTGTTACTTTGGGTGCCTGTTTGCACGGTCCAGTGCTGCGTAAAGGCTTTCCACGTGTCTCTGTCCGACGCTCCCCGTAGCCACGAAGTGGGCGGAGAGGCCCCGGTGTCCTTGAGATACTTTTCCCACGCGTTCTGCAGGAATCGACTAACGTCTGCGCATAGGCTCTTGGTTCTGCCTACTAGCCTGCGCACAAAAGGCCCATTCGCAAAATGCCACTCCGGGTCCCGAACACGTAACATAACTGCAATGGGGATAGAAGCAGACAGATCATAGCGTGCGGCATGTCCCCAGTATCCAAAGAAAGCACGTGCATGTTCTCCCTCCCACGTGCGGTGCCCCACTTCCTGTGCTGCCAATCTGCTCGCTCTTCTTCTGGCAATCCAAGAATCCAATGAACCCTGAAAAGGATCCCGCGAAAATCCCAAAACAGCGAAAAGGAAGGATGTTTGGACGGTTCGCAGAAATTGTTGAACAGCTTGGGTGGGGCGTACAGCTGGGCTAAGCCATCTCCATCGTGATGTCACGAAGGTGTCAAGCAACCTGAGTCTTTGGGTCAGCCCGACGGTGGCTTGCCTAAGAATACGAAAGTATGCCCAGAAGGCATTGGTAACCTTAGCCATCCTTGCTGTAAGAGTGGCGAGTCCTGTGAGTTGAAAACCAACCAGGACGCCTAGAAAAGTAATGGTCTCCTCCCAACGCACCTCAGCATGTCCAACTTGAAGGGGAGCTTTCGGGAGTCCGGGCGTCTGAATGTAGCAACACTTGCGCCAATTGAACCTAAGTCCAACGGCTCCCAGTGCCTGATTGCTGTCTTGTAAGAGCCGCAGAGCTTGGGGTCTGGATGTGGCTAGGAGTACTAGGTCGTCCGCAAAAGGGGTCAGGAACAGCTTGCGGTTGTCCTGACGAGCCAGGTATGTTCCTGGTTCTGCCATTGTTCGTTAGCAGGTACTAGGTAATGGTCTACACAACGTGCAAACAGCTCAGCCGAATAGCTGCTCCCCTGCAATACTCCTTGGAGTAGTTGTTGTGTCCATTTGGTGCCTTGGAGCGATAGATCTACGCTGCTGTTCCTCACAATTTCGAGAAGGAGTTCAGCTTCCCGGCTTCCCTGGGCTAAGCTAAGGAAGGCAGCGATGGCTTCGTGTGATAGCGAGTCAAACGCTGCCGCTACATCCAGTTTGATGATGATAAGTGGTTTCCCGTATTGCTCAGCTAGCCTTACGGCTTGCTGGACGGCACACGCTGCGTCCAACAATTGCCTCTGCGGAACACCTCCAACCTGAAACGCCTGAATTGGCGGCAGCTGTGGCCTGAGTCGCAACATCAGTGCTTTTGTGAAAACCTTTCCCACTGTGCTCGAAAGCACTATGGGCCTCAGGTCCGAAGGTGAATTGGGGGAGCGGACGTTTTGGGCAGAAAACAGACATGACTGCGCAGCCACCCCTCCGGCACTGGCGTAATCCCCAGGAGAACCCCATTGAAGAACTCAAGCAGATGTTCGCTCAGCTCGGATTGCAAAAGCATCTGTACTGCTTCGTAAGACACTCCATCCGCGCCAGTACTTTTATTATGCTTACAGAGGAATGCCACGTCCATAAGTTCCTCGCTCGTCAGCAATCGTGGGCTCATTATGGGCCCCACGCGGTTCCTGAAAAGTGCCATGGCCAAATTTCTGGGTTGGGGGTTGACTGGCGTGTACTTTCGTTGGTAGAAGAGTCTCAAATCAGTAACTGCCTTAGTCTTGCCTCCCGCCCGAAAACAATATGAGCCTTGCGTGTAGAGCGCAGAGTTGCGTTTGCGGAAATACGAGATGGCTCTGTAGTCTCCTGCCGCGCTTTTCTGCAGGAGTTCAGTGAGCCACTCCCTCTTTGCAAGCTTGCGGGCATCGGCAATTTGCTTGGCAAGTTTTCTGGACTCAGGGCCTCGTACCTTTTTACGTTCCTGAATGAGGTGCTTAATTTCGGGTGGATCAACAAACCTGCAACTTGAGATTCGTTTGGAGCAACCACTACATAGTTTCTCAATGGCCTGCATGTCTAAGTCCTTCATGGACAAGTCGAGCTCAGAGGCAAGTTCCGCAGCCTTGGTCAGCAAGGTGGGACCATGGGTCCACCACTTGCCACACCTGGAGTTCTGAAATTTACTATGGCCTTGTGTTGGCAAGGTCTGTATGCTTATCGTTGTCGCGCAATGATCAGATCCAATAACTTTGTCGGATCCAGCCACTACTCTGTCGTCCGTGGTTTGCATGGAAGGCGACGCAAACAACACAAAATCAATTCGGGACTGTGCACCTCTCGTGTTAGTCCATGTAGAAGACTGGGGTCTCGAGTGCTCCAGACCTAATGTGCGGAGCAGTTGCCCAAAGGGCACACCTCTCTCATCCACGTTCACAATATCGAGAATGTCGTAGTTCAAATCGCTACAGATACAAATCTCATCGTGGTACCTACGTGCAGATGTGAATTGAATAAGTTCTTCGACTTGTTGTTGCCAGACTTGCAGGCAGTCCTCACGAAGCCTGTAGGGCAAATGAATTGATGCAAGAAAGTGTCGTACTCCTTGATCTTTGAGAATGATACCTGTACCGGTACAGAGGGCCTTCGTAGACTCAACTCTGCCAATCCAAGTCGTCGGTATGCCTACTGCTGATCCTCGGAAAGCATGTGATGGGCTGCAATAGAAAAAGGTATAGGACTGGCCAGACAAGAAAATCTCGTGGTGAAGTACAACGTCATTCGAAACACAACGCTCAGGGAGACATCCTAATTCCTGAAGGCCAATGATCTGAGATCCTTGGAAATCAAGCAGATCCCAGACCCGAGCCAAATCATCCAGACCCTTTCCCCGGAGGTTCCAGGTCATCGCATGCATCTGACGTGGTCTTGCCTTAGTCGGGAGTCAAGCTCCCCGCCCCAGTGGGGTGGCATCGGGTCCGTGTTCCAGCCACATCTGTTGTAAGGACTCTTTGGGTCGCTGCGTGATGTGCGCATACGCTTCTGAGGACACAAACCACACAGTCTGATTTCCTTTCGAGTCCTCGATGACTTGATCCGTAGGCGTTGGATCATGTCCATCGTCCATGCTGCGCAGCATCCTCGTCTGCCCAACAAAGACTTGGCCCCTCCAGACGATCTCCGGCTCTGGCCAACGTGCCCCCAAATCCCCCGTTGGCAGGGTGCTGAAAAAGTTTTTGGTGAGTACTATAGCCCGAATTCTGATCCTTTCTTCAAGCGACCTGTCTTTCTGGACCCGCAAGTTACACTGAGCCTGCCCCTCGATCCCACTTTTGCTCTTCAGTGCTTTAAGCTTATCAAGGACTTTAGTCTGCAGTTGCCTGCGCCGAGGAAGGTCAGGGGTGTTATTGAAGTCAAGCGCGACTCGGAGAAAATTCGTGCGTCCCGACGGGCCGGACATATCCTTGAGGAGGTCTCCCAATCCTGCTGCTTGGAACAGGTTCTTGACTTCTTCCTCAGCTTCAGAAACCCTGGCATCTGTCCAGCCACCGATTACCAGGCCTAAGTCCTGGTCAGGAGCTCGGAGTGGATCGGAGAAATTGTTGTTAGGGTTGCTCCTGGGGCTTCTGGGGCTGACATTTCCTCCATGTCTGCTACCACGTGGGGTATCAGGTGCCCTAGGGGGGGTCACAGACCTAGACTTGCGGTCAAGCTCTACGACTGCTTTTTCGAGAGCAGTAATGCGATCAAGTGCGGCTTCGTGACTATCAGTGTGCTCCTTTGCGACGGCCTCTAGTGTAGCAAGTCGTGTGTCATGCTGTGCCACGCTAGTGCCTAGTTGTACACAATAATCATGGGTACGATCGCTTTTAAGATGAAGCCCTTGAATGGAATCCGTCAAACCCTTCAACCACTCAGGAGCAGAGTCTGTTGTCCGTGTCAAGGACGGGAAAACACCAGCCGCTGGGTGTTCGGGCAAGGCAGGCGGAGGGTTCATCCTAGGTTCAGCCCCTTGGAGTTCGTCGTCGTCATTGCTTGTCAAATCGAAAACTTCGTGTGTCTGGCCTACCCTAGGGGCGAAATCCATAGGAGAGTCCTGTTGTGTTTCCGATTCTTTGACTTCCAGCTTAATTTTCTTGGGTTCGGGAGCTTTCTTGTCAACATCCACGTCCGAGGATTCCTGTCTGCTGGTAAGCTGGCCTTGTTCAAGGACAGAATGGTGGCTGCTGGTTACGGGCGGGAGCTGTGTCCTCTCATGATTCTCTCGAGGGTCAGACTTGGACCCAGCTACGGGAGGACGTGCGAGCGCTCTTTCGGGCTTCGGTGTTCTCTCTCTGGTACGCCCTCTCTCAGCACCCTCGCGCGGCATGATCGCAAGAAGGGCAGCAAGAAACAAGCGCAACCAAAAGGGCAGTCAGTGCAAGGCAAGGCAGTCAGTGCAGCAGAAAGGACAGGCAGTGCAAGGGCAAGGACAGTGCAGTGCAGTGCGAGAAAGAAGAAAGAAGGAGGAAGGAGAAAGAACGTGAGCCCAGTCGTACGGGGGGTCTTTGCTTGCTCTGTGAGAACTGAGAGTCTCGAGCCGACACTTGAGCCGTAGCCATTTATATCAGGTATATATATATATATACATACAGATATAGATGTTAAAAAGACGTGCATCCGTACATGTACATGTAACTGTTTATACATGTGATAGATATATGTATGTGTATATATATATATATATGTATATATATATATATATATGTACGTGTACGTAATTATGCACGTACGTAGGTAGGAATGCATGTACGTATGTGTAGAACAGGAAACATGAGAGTCAAACCGCAGAAATCACACATGCACGCAAACACAAAACACACACACACACACACACTCACACACACACACACACACGCGCGCGCACACACACACACACACTGATTGAAACCACAATGGGTAGAATCTCGGATATGTTTTGGTGTAACAGCGCACACATAACACAAGACGGAGCGGAACGGACGCCACCCCCACCTTAGTAGCAGCAGGACGGCACCACTGAGAACATCAACAATGGAACAAACCCGATACGGCGCGCCACCACAGCCGAATCATCACAGCATCTGAGGTTCAGGCCTGAATGACGTGTCACATGTGCTGAATGACTTGCTGGAGTTTCGTCGAAGGCTCTCTGTCAGGCTCCTAACATTTTACTCGTCAGATGCCAGCTCTTAGCCGTGACAGAAGCACTCCGGGCTGGCATGACTCCAGACAGACACTTCTTTTAAACAGCACGCGCTTTCAGCACAGTCGCTCATTGAAATCGCGAATCTTGCACACACACACACACACATGCACGCACGCATGCACGCCCGAACGCCGACCCATAATATAATTACCCACATACCATCCCACTCCCCTACCAATCCACACCCCATTAAATCCAGTTCCTGCTCTTGCTATGACCTTCATCTAGCTCACATGCCGTGGAAGCTAGTTTACCACTGCCACTGGGTCTATACTCGGTCCATGGCAGGAGATGATCGTGTATTTCTGGCAGCAGCCCTGCACCCGAAACGTCGCTGAGCCCTCAAGCCGGGCACGAGAACGCAGATGCACTCTTGGCTCATCAAGACCAAAGGAATCCTTCGTGAGTTCGATGGCGCCGACGGCCGCGAACAAGGAGAGAAGAAGCACGCACTTCATGGTCGAAACTCGCACAGAAAACCCCGGGGGCTGCCTTGAGGCTACAGAAGCTGCACTGGGAGCTTCGGGGTTTAGGCCAGGTAAGGTGTAGAGCTTTCGGACCTTACAGGCGGGCTTTGAGGCTCTTCCCAGTTGCTGCTACCAAGGGCACCGAGCATCACGTCGTGCAGCCGTACATTGGGGGCTTGCCTTCATCAGTCTTTATCTGACTATCTCGTTGCTGCATTTTGAAGTTCCTGGCGGTCCTAGCTGTCCCGGTCATTGTACAGCTTCACTACGTATTCTTCTATGGCGACTTGCCCCACCTTCTCCCCAAAAACTTTCTCCCAGTAGAAGGCGTTTTTTGCAGCGCGAGCTGAGCTGTACGGTCTGCTGCCGGGAAGGTATTTGTCGAGGTCCAAAACCAAGAGAAACCCGAAAGCCTCGAGTCTTGAGGGGCCATCTGCGCCCAAAACACCCCGCAAATACCTGGTGCTTGCAGCTTGAGGGGGCCTGGCCCACCCCAGTGAAATGAAGTGAGAGCGGCCACTGCTTCGCAGAGTTTAGGCTTTGGTGGCGGGCTGAGGATGCTGTTGGGGGGTTGGCTAACCTGAACAGTCTGCTTTCGCCGCCTGTGTCTAGGATCGGAATCGATCCGCGCTGTGGTTGAATCCTGCACACAAATTGGGAAGCTGGGTGGGCCTTCCTTGTGGGTCGGTGGAGAAGCAAGTGCGAGTTAAGTGTCCTAGGAGAACTTCTCGCTGTCAAACTGTCAAAAGCTTTGGAAAGCGAGGACCTGATAGCTTGCCCCGCCCATCTTCCGTGCACGAAACACCTCCGTTCTGAAAGCATGGTGGCAGCCGAATGGGTGCGGCACGCCCGATTTCTGATCCAAACATCTGCGATGAGTCTTGCTACTGCATGCTTGTTCAAACGCCTCGCTACGAGCGGCTGTCAGGCTGTGGCGTCCAGTGACGATGCAGCAATCTGTACAAGACGCACTCTGCCTCTCTGCACTCACGTGCCAATTACCTTGGAAGCACGCCTCTAAGATGGCACCGTATCGGATCAAGCCAAAAACCGAAGAACGACTGCCGAGGGGTTCGGCTCGCACCACTCTTCTACCCCATGGGAACATACCAACACACCCGGTCTCAAAAGGGAAGCTGCACTGAGGGCTAACGTCGGGGACGAAGGTGGCTCGGAAATCCAGTGCCTTCAAAAGGAGCCAACAGCGGTAGTTTGTCAGAAGCTAAACCAGGATTTACCATACATCTAGAGAAGCATCTACCATGCCGCACGTTTGTTGCTGCTCGTACTTCTGCCTCTACGGCCATGTCTTCATTTGCATGCGTTCATGTGAAGAGAGCAAAGACAAACCCACACACGTATGCATGTGTGCATACTGCATCACATCACGCCTCAGGCGTCCTAAATTCCTAAATGCGAGGATACAGGCGGATGGAAGGCACCAGAACTCCAGACCAACAGGCCGTGACTCAAAGAATCCGGGCGGGGTAGCGAGGTCCGCTCAGAAGGAAGCAACGCCTGTGGTTTCGGCTAAGTTCTTGAAGGATCGCAACCTGGTGCCTGCTTCCACCTTCCCGACATCCTCTGCAACCCTTGTCTAGCCAGCGATTAGTGCTTGGACCTACGAAGGAGCCTGGAGAACGCTCCTCTTATCCCCACAAAAGCCGGGTGTTTCAAGTCAACAGAATGTTCGGATTCAGAGATGCCCTAAGCACCAAGTCCCTAAGCACGAAGCAGAATCACATGAGAAAGGGACGATACGGAGGGCCAGAGTTGCCGGGCTCAGGGCTTTGTAACAAACCGCATGGTGGATCCCGCAGAGCATGCAAAAAGCAAAATGACACCGCTGCGCTGAAACCTTCCAAACAATGACTTCCAAACTGCCCCAGTCTCGCGAAGTCTTGACTGAGCCAAAACGCGAGAGTCCTAGCCCTCCAATAACAACGGTCGAGGAAAACAGCACAAACAGCAGTAACACGCATCACGCCAACAACAACCTCAGCAAAAGCAGCCAACATGTTAGCGGCCCAATAGCGACAGTGATGAAGATGACACGGCCGTATAAAGGCAGGTGGCTGAACGAGCTGCCGCAGCCACATTTCGAATCTGCAAGCTTGTTTTTCACCACAGAGAAGGAGGCTCGGATCATCTCCTGTTCGGGCTCACCAAGTTTTCGGGTGGGGTGTTCTATTTTCAGGACTGCTTGAAACGCTCAGAGGATTAAGGCACGTGCTGGGGAGACCGGAACACATGCTTGCAAAGTAGAACAAGGGGTGGGCGGTGCTGAATTCTGGCCCCATTCTTCGGTTCACAATATCGCTCTCTTCGAACTTCGATTCCTCTACAAAAGATGGCCTGGAATTTGGGACTGTATCCCGAAACAGAATCGGCTGAGTGGTTCAGGCTTCGGTAGACTTTTGCAGCATTACCCAAATTCTTCGGCAGGGCATAAGTTCCCAGACTGCCTGCACCGGTTCTGCTGGGTGTTTGGCTTCAGGTCCTTGAACTCTGCCGTTTTCTCGTTCTGCAGACAATTTGTGACTTGGCCGTGTGTCTTTGTTCCGGTTGTAGTAGTTTCACCTAAAGATCAAGAGTCTCATATACGGGTCTTGAAGGAAGTCGGTGCCTAAACCCAAATCTTTTGACAACTTGGGGTTCCACTAGAGCTGGCAAACTTTTGAAGGCTCACTTCGGGAGATCTCCGACCAACTCAGAGGGCGCGGGGGCGGGGACCATGTAGGGTGTGGTGCTCAGTGGCATTCAATCGTTCGAAACCAGACCCGAAATCGCAAGTTCGAATCTAGTGGGATTGCACATCGAACGCCGCGGTGATAGTTACACGGAGAGAACAGGGCCGTTGCGGATTCCGCAGCGGATGGGTTCCTGGGAACCTATAGGTAAGAACACGAAGCCCTCCCAATAAAGATCCTAAAACGGAGGACCCCCATTTAGGATGTGTAAGTAGGGCGCCTTTAGGGCACCCAAATCATTCACTACACCCCAGACGCCTCCGTGTAGTCGATCTCGCACTCCTCGAGGAACGTCATGGACAGCTCATCCACAATGAGCCGAGCCCCATTCTGACGGCAAAGGCGA